ATTCCTGACATACCTATAGAAAGCTTTAGGGTTTTCCTTGATCCTACCTGCTAAAGACTTCTCATGTCCCCTCCTGGCTCTTCTTAGCTCTCTCTTTAGGTCCTTCCTGGCTAACTTGTAACTCTCAAGCGCCCTCACTGAGCCTTCACGCCTCATCTCTACATAAGCCTCCTTCTTCCTCTTGACAAGAGATTCAACTTCTTTAGTAAACCATGGTTCCCTCGCTCGACCACTTCCTCCCTGCCTGACAGGTACATACTTCTCAAGGACATGCAGTAGCTGTTCCTTGAACAAGCTCCACATTTCAATTGTGCCCAGCCCCTGCAGTTTCCTTCTCCATCCTATGCATCCTAAATCTTGCCTCATAATTGCCTTTCCCCCAGCTATAACTCTTGCCCTGCTTTATATACCGATCCCTTTCCCTTAGAAACTATTCTGCAAAAGCACTGGGTACAGTCTCAAATATACCCAGAAGGAAACTCATCAGCTTTCACTCAAAACACAGACAGTTAGATTCTTTTACAATAGAGCAAATGCAAAAACAACTTCTACCCTTTCAGCTTTGCCTGTTCTGTGGTATCTCGTTGCACAAAACTAATTAAAAATAGAAATTGGAGAACATTCTGGGAAAACAGAACTAAGAACAGCACAGGTTGAAGAAAGGTAGAAATCTAATTAAAAACTTCAGATGGTTTATATATAGAATAATGGATAACTGTGAGAGATTACAGACTGATACCTAATTGAGGGGTTCAGATGGTTTATGTACAGCATTAAGACACAGGTGATTAGAGATATTTGAGTGCACAGCACAGATACAGACAAACAAACAAACAAATTGGAGTAGACCACTCGGTCCCCTGAACAGAGGTTATGTTAATAGATACGTGAATATTCATAAATACCCTTCAGTCTTGACAGCTGGTAGCTGTTTCTTTAGCGCCGATTTGTCCTCTGCACTCAAAGTGCTGAAACCCTTCAGCTGGGTGGCGCTGTAGGTGGGCAGGAAGCCCAGTTCTGCTCTCTTGGTCACAAAACACGCAGGATGGTACCATCGATCGATCATCCCCAGCTGCGGCTTCTCCGGATCAATCATTTTCTTGGAGACACGGACGGTATCCTGCGTGTCGGAAACACAACAGCACGTTTAGAGAATGGTGAAATGGGAGGAGGGTAGGCCTGGGCTCCTGTCATTGCTAAACCAACTTAAACATCCACTCCCTCCACCCCCCGACGCTCAGTAGCAGCAGTGTGTACTATCTACACGATCCTCAGGCAACACCTTCCAAACCCACGGCCACTTCCATCTTGAAGGACAAGGGCAGCAGATACATGGGAACACCACCCCCTGCAGGAGCCCCTCCAAGCCACTCACCATCCGGACTTGGAAATAGGTCATCACTGTTGCTGGGTCAAAATCCTGGAATTCCCTCCCAGGAGGGCATTGTGGGTCAACCCACGGCAGTTGGGCTATTGCAGTTCAAAGTGCAGTTCACCATTACCTTCTCCGTGGTAATTAGAAACGGGCAATTAACACTAGTGAGAAAAGCCATAACTGCTTCAACCCTGCCCCAATACCGGAATGCCTCATCGTAACACTTCGGCCAGGGCAGCACACTCTAGTACTGTACTCAGTTACAGACTGAACTCTCTGCACTGCAAATCACATTCACTGACTCAGAACCCAATGGTACTAACAACTGATACCTAAACGAAACTTATAATATCTTACTCTTGTCTGCATCATCAATGTAACTTTAAAAATAATATAACAAAAGATCATGCGCCAACGCTTGGATGGGGCTGTTCTACATTTTGTTTTAGAAAGCTCCTGTGAAGTCCCTTGGGAGACTTTTAACTTTCATAATGCAATACATTTTGTATTAACCAAACCCCAACGTCCACACTGCGCCATCCTGACCAGGCCCCACTGTCCACGCTGCGCCATCCTGA